AATAACATTGTAATCTTGATCATCATCATCATTTTCAATTTCATCACTATTGTCATCATCATTATCATCATTATCATCATCATCAATAGTGGGATTAAACTTTCCTTCAAGTCCATGTATTACAAACTCAACATGTTGGAGAGCTTCATCACAAAACAACTCCAAATCCCTAAGATGTTTAAGTGCTTTCAAATGAAATTTGGGCTTGAGGAGTTGCAATGCTTCCATATTGATATCTTCTTTTGAGGACATCTGAAGTTGACTTGGAACAAGTACTACCGCTGTGTCTCTCTACTGGAAATGTGGGTAATCAATTTTTTTCTCTTGTCTTCATCTTTGATTACACTTTCAAATATTTCTCTTGCCCTGTTTTCCAACCTTTTCTGTGGCTGCTTTTGGCCTTTCTGTTGTTTTCTTTCTTCCTTCTCTTTAAGCGAGCGTTTTCACTGGAGCTTAGAGATATACTCAGTCTAGATCGAGATAGTGTACAATGGGAATGTTTAAATCATTATGTATTGTGTGGAGGCTCTTCAGTTGTTCCTGTAGCTTTCTGATACAGGAAGTTATGTACTGGTGCTCCTCCTCACATCCACTCTTTACACCAGAGATGTTGTTAGCGTTAACCAGCCTTTGCCGTCTTTGCTTGAGATCATTGTCTAGGATGCTGATATTGATTCTGAAGTGTATGATTATGACAATGATGACGAAGATGAAGACGAAAATGATTATGATTATGAAAGTGACGATGATAGTGAAGACGATAATGAGGTAGTGGCACTAGTCGACAGCGAGGAGGAAATGGAAACCGATATTCCTCTTCTAGTTCAGTATTATGTAACGCGATCAGGAAGAGTCTATTGCAAGCTCTCATTACCATTCATCGCAATGGCTTGTATAGGAATGTGTAGGTATCAGGACAAAAAAGTGTTTGTATTTAGGTATATAGGTGTATACCCTGCGGTATACATAATGAACGCAGCCTTAGAAAATCTATTCCGCTCAGTACAGATTGCTTTCTGGAATAGAAAACAGATTGATTTTGGTGCTCACAGGCATGCCATCAGAGAAGTATAGTTATTTAGGTAATTGTAACTTTTTTTAATTTCTGGAAATATTGATTGAATTTCTTCTCAATGTCGCAGTCCGGAAATTCAGATCAACACAACCGGCGAAGAAGAAGACGGTGGATGAAATTCAAAAAGACCCTGTATATGCTGAGATCCCCGAGGAACAACGTAAGAACGAACCTCCAGTTGATCAGGCGGGAGGTAAGGATCAAAGCTCCATTTTATAATAACAGAGAGTATTCTTGCAATTTGCTTAGCTGACAGCTATGGTCAATAAGAAGACAGCGCGCGCTTGAAACCGTTTTTCTTTTAATTAAGGAATGGATCATAAGTAGCGTGCATCCATCGAGTTATGGATGCACGCGGGAGGTTGCTAAGCACGAAGAAAAGCGTAAGAGTTGCACGACGCGAAGCGGAGTGCAACTCTAGCTTTTTTGAGTGCTTAAGCAACCTCCCAAGTGCATCCATAACTCGATGGACGCACAGCTA